GCAACAAGCAGTGATTTCTTTTATAGAAAGATATTGTCGGAAGAGAAAATTATAGGAAGGAAGAAAAGCTATAAAGCTCCTCCAAAAATAGGACTTGGTGTTTTTTCTCTTGTTCGTGTCGTATGAGAAATGTTGCGAGAGAGGAGGAGGAAGAAGATTTAAAAGAAGGACAAGAGAGATCAGATCTTTGGAGAATTTTTTTTTTTTTTTCTTCATTTTTTTGGGACAACAGTTGCAATTATAGATTCACCAGTCTTAAAAAACATTTCAACAGTAAACACATGATGTGCACAGGTCCAAGACATATTGGTAACTGATGGTATTGGAAAAATAAATGGTAAGACATTAGCTTGATGAAGACACCATTATCACTTGCCTAAGTTCACTATCACCACATGGGTGCTAGTTTAAAATGTGGGAGGTATTTCTGCCAAATGCTGTATTTAGTGAATATAAAACTGAAGATTGTCGATATAGATTTGTAAAAGTCTAGAGAAATGTGCATTCCTTAAATAGATAATTCAACACTTGCTCTGTCAATGTGAACAAATTGGTAAAGGCATATTTCAGCTATAGAAGCAGTTTCCCTGATGGAAAAGAAGATATAGGTTCAATTCCTGTCAGAGGCACAACCTTTTGTAGAACTTCTCACCAAGCTGGCTGTTATTAATTTCAATGTTTAAAAAAAATTTTTTTTTAAATTTAAAAAAAACATATAGCAACTTTAAATAACATTTATAATAATAAGAAATAATTTTGGAAAAAATCCATTAAAAGACTAAAAGATTCAGCACATACACGTATTTAATGAGACATTGATATATTACCATAGACGGTAATAATTGTTCTATTTTATTATTATTATCCTTTGGTTTCTGGTGTATGCTCATTTCTTTCCGGGTCCCAACCAGAGACCTAAGGTCAGAAATGGCATCATTACATTTTCCACTGAGCAAAAAAAAAAAAAAAATCACACATCTTTTACATAGATAAAGCCCTTCATAAGGTGTGGGCTGTACTCGTGAGAACAATTTCTTGTATTTCTTTAAGGCTGTGCTACCAGGAATCCCTGCAATGAGTCTATTGGGATCTTTTCCAATCAATCCCAGGGCTCCAACTACAACAAGAATTGTTAATGTCCTCATGTGTTACATTTCTGAGATTTCAATTTCAAAGTCCTTTTATTTTGATAGTTTTTTTTTTGAAGATCTTCAAAGATCCATTGCAGTCTGCAGGGACTGCAACCATGTCAATAAAGAGGCGCATTTTGTCTTTGTGGTCTCTAATCATGATATCAGGGTGATTAGCATTTATTGTTCTGTCTGTATGATTTATAAAATCCCATAAAATTGTTAAAGATCTTATCTCTGTAACCTGGTCTGAGTGGTGTTCATAACAATTTCTTGCAGTTTCCTTTCCATAAGCACTGCGGATATTAGCCCACTCTGTCATGCCATGTTTTATATTCAGTGTGCCAATAATGTGCAACCTGATACAAGATGGTCAATTGTTTCTGGATATTTATCACAGAATTTGCATTTGGGGCTAACACAATTTTTCAGTATGTATATTTGATAATTTTTAGTTATCAAGCATTGGTCCTGAGCAGCAAGAATAAAACCTTCAGTTTCAGTTTTTAACTTTGCACTACGTAGCCACTTATAGGTACTGGGTTTTGTCTACATCGGCTTGTTTGGCATGGGCAGAGTATGAACCATGAAGTGGTTTATCTTGCCATCATTTCTGTATCTGGTTGATTACATTTGCCTTTGCTTTCTTTTTTTCACTATTTTGTAGCTTCAGTCGGTGTATTGTGCCTTACTTGTATTTCTACACCCATTTGAATCACTTATTGTGTTTAATTTATGTGGGTAACAAATGTTATTAATGTGAAAAGCAAAATTGGTAAACTGAGTTCAAACTCCTGACAAGTCTGTTGCACTTGCTTTCAGACTAATGCTCTTGGGGAAAAGCATGACTCCATTTCTCCTCCTCACAGCAATTAAGGGTTAATAGCAGTGGTAGCCAGTGTAGGAGGACTGGATAAAGCAACAGGATACCACTCCATTCTCTTTCCCAAGAGTTCATGGCAGTTGACATAAAGATAATAAAGAAATGGGATCTGTGGAGAGCCATTATTGCTGACATCTTGAAGGAACCTGCTGCAAAAAAATATGGAATCAAATGATGCAAAAATGAAAATATCTCATTTTAATAGATATATTTACCAAAATTACTGAAAAATATCTTGAAATACTAAAGAGTAAATTTATTCAATATCACTATTGATGTCAACAGTGGCCTCCAAACTACTTCAGAATCTCCTGCATCTCTTCTGGATGGTCTCCTTGTTTAAGTTGGTGAATGGTGCCATAATACTTGGCTCCAGTTCATCTTTGGTGTTGCAAGGAGTTTTGTGTGTGTGTGTGTGTGTGTTGGAAGTCAAATTAGTCATCTCCCCCCTGGACCAGTTATAAAAGTATAAGCTCCATCCTGTTTGTTACCAGAGTTGGTTGAATTTGTGTGTTGTTGTTTGTTTTGTTTTTTTTTTTTTTTTTTTTTTTTTTTTTCTTTAAAGCATTTTACCCCAAGCAAGGTGGGAGTGTCACTAGTATGCAAGGGGTTACAGAGAGTGAAAGAGAAAAGAGGGGTGTTTAAGGAAAGGATAAAGAGAAGGACTGGGATCAAAATCAAGGCATCAGAGGATGTCAATTGACATTACATTTAATTGTTTAAAGATTATAATTATCAGTGAAGCAAGTAAAAGGAAGGGACTGCCAAGAAGTTCGAAAGAAGTAGTAGCATGTTTAGATTCATGCAGTTGGGGCACCTATAAAAATAATGCATCAGAGCAGTTTCCATGAAGATATTTGTAAAAAAAAAAAAAATCCACATGTCTGTGAGAAAGTAAATGGTATCAAGATGTCAGTTCAGGACCTATCACATTGCATATCCATCTTTGGATTTTGTCAAGATCCTCAAGATGAACAGCAGGGGCACCAGCCCGTATATGGGAACAGTAATCAATGCAAGGATGAATGGTAGATTTGTAGATTTGAAGGATGGACTCTGATGAGAAAGACTTTCTGGCGCAACAGAGAACCAACTTTCCTTGCGGTAGATGTAGCTATTGATTCAATGTAGTTGTTTTACCTAAGGTCAGTGGAAAAGCCATTTTAACCATTGATCTGACAGTGATCATATATAGTTTAGATATTTCGGAACAGGTTTGGTGCCCTGCATGATATCTATATGAAAGTCTCAATTTGACACGGCTATTTAAGAACATGACACAAGTTTTCAGGTTATTTTTGTTTTGTAGCAATGTTTTGCTGAATGACAGATGAAGACAATACTTTATGATATTATAGAAACATGAGTTTTTTTTTTCTTTTCAGTTTTTTATTTATTTAAGATGGTATATCATGAGTGTATGAAAAGATTTAAAATCCTTTCCTCCTCTTGTCCCTGAAACTAAGATTCTGGATGCATTAAGACAACTAAATATGTTTTCTTTTTCTTTTCTGGGCACTTTTGGTCCACCTTGCTGTCTTAAAATCAGAGTTAAATAGATGCTTATTAGAATTGTAGATGGAAATTATTTTTAGGAATCTCATTAACCAAGAAGTCACTTTGATTTTGTTTGTTCTGATAAAACTAATTTCAATTGAGAAAAGTCCGAGAGAGAGAGGCCTAATAAAAAACACTAAAGTAAAATAAGTTTGAAATTTTGGCTAATGCATGGATTTTGACAAACAACCTATAAATTGTGAATCCAAAATACAACCAATTCTGTCTCCACCCCCTTGTCCCCACCATTTTCTCCAAGACATCATCATCTCTTCATCTCAAGAAATGAAAATAAGAATTGAGAAATGGAATCGGTTTTTACCAAGACTTTGCTAATGCAGTTCTTAAAGTAATGCAAATCAAAGTCTTGGGAAATTTTTGAGAATCTTTTTGAAAATAGTCTTTTTTTTTTTTTTTTTTTTTTTTTAAGAAGAAGAAAAAGAGAAATCAAAGACGATGAAGAAAAAAGAAGAAAGAAAGGATTTGATAAATAGTATAAAGAGAGATTGGGGTGGGTGAAAAAGAAAGTAAGGCAAATAAAGAGGAGAAAAAGAATAGAAAATGAGTGAAAATGAAAGGAAGAGAGAAAACCTGAGAGAGAGAGAAATAGACAAAAACAGGCAGAGGCAAGAGTTACTTCCCTTGGGAGAAAAAATAATGAGTTGTGAAGACTGTGTGTAAGTACACTCACACACTTATATAAAAAGATGGAAAGTGCTTTCCTTTGACAAGTTAAAGTGGAAGGACTTTTCCCATCAATTCTTGGGAAGAAACTTTTTTGGCATCTTCAACTAAAAGCACTTCCCTTATAGGATCAAAAACCTAAAAAGAAAGAATGATAAAATGCAAAATGAGTTCTAAATAATAAAGCATAAAAATGTGTCCATTGAAGTTTTGAACCCCTTCTTGATTGTCGACCAACCAGTGACATGACCTAACTTTTTATAGGTTTGCTTGTATTATTTTAAAACCTGTTATCTCATTTGGTTGCTATGGTTTAATCTAAAAGCCAAAAAAAAGAAAGGAAAGTTGATTTCTATATCCCCTCAAAGATTGGCTTTCTATACTTTAATATATCGAATATGAATTACCATAGAATTATTTGAAAATATTTTCAGTTCCATCAAGGATTTCCTTTTATCTCACTTGTAGGTCACATTTGGACCTTAATTTTTGTTCATTTTCTTTTTTTCATACTTGATGGATTACAGAAGATAAGAATTAAATGGCTTCTCTTATGATTTAGAAAAGTCTTTGAATTTTTATCATCATAAAAATTGTTTGAAAGGTCAAGAATTCTAGGCTATATACATTGTGATGAGACTTGAATTTTTCTGTGAGAATGGAAAGTCAGAAATGCAGTTCTTAATTGATGCTTCGATCTTTTGAATTTGTACCAAGACAAAATATCTCAAAAGACAAGAAATGATATGGGTAGGACTCTGCGTACATTATTGACAGCCTCTCTCTGTTTTCTCTCTCCCTCCTTTTCCTTTCTCTCTCCCTCCTTTTCCTTTCTCTCTCCCTCCTTTTCCTTTCTCTCTCCCTCCCTTTCCTTTCTCTCTCCCTCCCTTTCCTTTCTCTCTCCCTCCCTTTCCTTTCTCTCTCCCTCCCTTTCCTTTCTCTCTCCCTCTCTCTTCCTCTCTCTCTTCCTCTCTCTCTTCTCTCCTCTCTCTTCCTCTCTTCTTCTTCCTCTCCTTTCTTCCTCTCCCTCTCTCTCCCTCTCTCTTCTCTCTTCTCTCTCTCTTCTCTCTTCCTCTCTCTCTTCTCTCTTCTCTCTTCCTCTCTCTCTTCTCTCTTCCTCTCTCTTCTCTCTTCCTCTCTCTCTCTCTTCCTCTCTCTTCTCTCTTCCTCTCTCTCTTCTCTCTTCCTCTCTCTCTTCTCTCTTCCCTTCTCTCTCTCTCTTCTCTCTTCCTCTCCCTTCCCTCTTTTTTCTCTCTCTCTCCCTTCCCTCTTTTTTTCTCTCTCTCTCCCTTCCCTCTTTTTTTCTCTCTCTCTCCCTTCCCTCTTTTTCTCTCTCTCCCCTTCCCTCTCCTTTTTCTCTCTCTCCCTTCCCTCTTTTTCTCTCTCTCTCCCTTCCCTCTTTTTCTCTCTCTCTCCCTTCCCTCTTTTTTCTCTCTCTCCCTTCCCTCTTTTTTTCTCTCTCTCTCTTCCCTCTTTTTTTTTTTCTCTCTCCCTTCCCTCCTCTCTCCCTTTTTTCTCTCTCTCTCTCCCTTCCCTCTTTTCTCTCTCTCTCCCTTCCCTCTTTTCTCTCTCTCCCTTCCCTCCCTTTTTCTCTCTCTCTCCTTCCCTCTTTTCTCTCTCTCTCTCCCTTCCCTCTTTCTCTCTCTCTCCCTTCCCTCTTTTTTTTCTCTCTCTCTCCCTTCCCTCTTTTTCTCTCTCTCTCTCCCTTCTCTCTTTTTTCTCTCTCTCTCCCTTCTCTCTTTTTTCTCTCTCTCTCCCTTCTCTCTTTTTTCTCTCTCTCTCCCTTCTCTCTTTTCTCTCTCTCTCTCTCCCTTCCCTCTTTTCTCTCTCTCTCTCTCCCTTCCCTCTTTTCTCTCTCTCTCTCTCCCTTCCCTCTTTTCTCTCTCTCACCATCTGATTATACTTTACAAACATTCTTATGCACATAGTATCAGGTGTCTAGCTACAAGCTTGTGTATCTGAGTAGAGAAGCAAGCAATAATTCTGCAATACTGACAAAGCACAAATGGATTTTCGTCTAATGTCACCAGTCGAGTGAGAAGAGAATTTAATTGCCAACGTTTTAACTGATTCAAGCATTGGTTAACAAATTCACTTTGTTAGATCATATCTGTTTAGCTTCATCTCACGTCTTAGATTTTGAAACATCTGAACATCATTCAAATACAGGAGAACCTTGAAATCTCACTCTTTTCATGGCAAATATTCAGACAAGCTACCTTCCTTAATTCTGCCAGTTCAGACCTTTATAGTTAGCACCTGCTATGCCACATACAAAAGCTCAACTCCTTTTCATTACCCTTCGTATTCCATTGGTCAGGAGGAAGTTCCACTCAGGCAGCATATTTCTGAAAATTGTTTCTTTGTTAAACAGCCTCAAGAGGATGAATCCCTATAGTCTTAATCCCTTCAAGTTTTGGGGACAACCATTATATGTCTTATATATATTAATCCAATATAAAATTTCTCACTTAGGTGATTGATTCTATATTCAGCACCCCAACAATAGTTTCATTAGACTAAACTTTTTTGTAATTGTACAGTCCACTTATCAGGAAGTATCAGCAATTCACACACACACACACACACACACACACACACACACACACACACATATATATATGTAGAAAAAAACAACTTATTTATATTTGATATTCCAGATCGACCTCGATCTTTCTTCTGAAATAACTGTTTTTAGGGGTTTGTTTATAAGTAGCGTCCATTGCGAGATGCGGATGTCATGTGATATGGAACACCACTGTGTTCGAATATTTTCAACGTAAATCTAATAATATTTTAGATGTTTTAAAAAAAAAAATTTTTTAACTATATCTAAAAAAATGTTTAACTATTGAAATATTTATAAAGATTTAAAATACCCAAGTCTTTATTTAACCCTAGTTTATATGTATTTAATTTGAAAATCTAGTATTTTTCTTTTTTTCTGCATGTGTATGTGGAACTGAAATCAGAATATATATATATATATATATATATATATATATATATATATATATATATATACACACACACACACACACACACATATATATATATATATATATATATATATATATCTAAATAAAATAGTCATTTATCTTTTTCCAAAAATAAATTTAAATATATTCACATTTTGTTCAAGATCAAAAACTGATGATGATAAATTATATGGAAAAGAATTGGAATTTTAAAACTTCCAGATTGAAATTTTTAAGCTTCTATTAAAAGCAAAGAGAAGATTTGGTTTGGATTGCGTTACTTTCTTGCTGATGTATACTAAAAGTTACTCCTCTTTATTTATTTTTTTTTTTTTTACACTAAGTAATTTGAAGCATTTGTTGACTACAGACAGGTAGTTGCATATATATTTTTACTTAGACAAAACCAGAATCGAAATTTAATACAGGAAATGGTTTCAGATACTTTAGCAAACTTTCTTGAACTTTTTTTTTAACTTTATAACTGAAGAGCTCCATTTCAACTATTAAATTTATTTTTTTTTTTTTAAATCCATTTCTCATCTATTTTACTAAAAGTTTGTCCTCTTGTAACAATTTTTACTTTTATCTACCATGTGATGCTGATGTCACCTGTAATTTTGTTTCCCCACCGTTGTTGGTAGAATTAACTTATTGTAAACACGTATGCATTTATTGTTTGTCTATTTGTTTTTAGTTGAAACACGTATTAGGCAGGCGCATTGTGCGTGAACCTAGATAATCATGTTCTTGTTTTTATTGATTGAATACTTTGAAAAAAGTGGTTTTACAATGGACACAAAAGAGAAAGGAATTCCTTTAGACTGGTTAAACACACTTTGTCAGTGTGTTTAAAATTCACACCCTATCCTTTTTTTATTAATCTGCCAGAAACAGTGACTCTGGAAATTATGAAGCTTACCCCCTAAATAACAAACTCATTAAGAGATAGAAGTAGCAGTGTATATATATATATATATATATATATATATAATACCCCATGCCATTAGTTTATAGAGCTAACATCAAATATAATGGTGAGGTCAAGTTTTATATGGTTTCTACTGGAAAGTACACTTCTATCATCACCAAATAATATTAAATATAATAACAGCACTATACTCTCTAAATTTTTCTGGAAAATAAAGTGAGAATAGAAACCCAACTGTCACCTGGGACTATATAACGAAAGCTAAACCCTTCAGCAGGAAAGGTGATATTGTAGCTTATGTTTATGATCCTAAAAAATATGAGCAACCCCAATCTGTTAAAAAAAAGAAGTGAGTTAATGAGTGCATGCTTACCTAGAAGTAAATTTCTGCTCAAGCATGTTGATCCAGGTTAATATAGTTTTCTCAGTACTGGATGCTGCTTTTGATGTTGATATTATTATTATCTTTTATTTTTACTATATAACAATTATTACTATTATTTTTTATTCTTATCTTATTTTTAGTCTTACTATTACCAATATTATGTTTATTTTATTATTATCTTTATTTTTATTATCATTTTATAACTGCGAATCTTTTTATTTTTTTATTAATTCTATCATTAACTATTTTTTAACCAAATAAAAGAGTTACCCCCCCTCCTTGGTTCTCCAGCACATTTCTCATAACAGCATCCATTTGTAATGAAAATTAGAATTTCTAATTCCTATATTCAATCTTAAATGTAAGTGTGAGCCTAAATTCAAATTTCAAGATTAGATTAAAGTGCAATTAAATATTTAACAATAATAATAATTCATCCAAACAACAACAAATCTCATGAGACTCAGAAATATTAACCAAACAGTGTAAAATTAAATCAGTACCTGATGATTGCATAGAGCATGAAACTCCGAGTTGTGCTATCAGTGTAGGGTATTATATGTATACATATATGGCACTATAAAGACACATAAACCTAACTATCCTCTCCGTCCTATCATATTGCAAATTCCAACTCCTGTATATCAGCTAACAAAATATATTAACCAACTCATTACTCCTTACCTTCCTAGTAAATATAGTGTTAAGTCAACATTAGAAGTAATCCAAATCCTAAAAAGTGAAAAACCTGACAATGAAATCATGGCTTCACTTGATGTTGAAAACTTATTTACCAATGTCCCTGTTAGTGAAACTATTGACATAATTATAAGGAATATATCCAGTAGCTCATCTTTACCCCCACTTAAAATTAATCCTAATATATTAAGAAAACTACTATTAGCTTGTACTACTGAAGTCCCTTTCTTAGATCATAATAATAATATATATATATATATATATATATATATATATACACACAACGTGATGGTGTCTCCATGGGTTCAGTACTGTGTCCGGCATTTAGCAATTTCTACATGTCGAACCTCGAAAATAAGATATTTACAGATTTTAAAAAACCATCCATCTACCTAAGATACATTGATGATATCCTTATGTTAGTTAAAAATACAGATGAAATACTTCAACTTCAAAAACGTTTCCAAAATAATTCTGTCCTTAAATTCATGTATGAACTCAATACTACTAATAAAATTCCCTTCCTTGACATATTGATAAACACAAATAACAAATTTACTATTTTGCCATACAAAAAAACTACCAGCATAAATACATGTACACTTAACTACAAAAGCGAATGCCCATATTACTATAAAATAGCAATTGTAAAAAATCTAATACATCGTGCAGAAACTAATTCATCCACAAAACTGATTTTTTATAGTGAACTAAAGAATATAAAACAGACACTTATTAATAATAGCTTTCCAAACTATATAGTTGAACAAATAAGATGCCTTCTTAGAAATCTCAATACTAAGCAAATAGTACATAATACTGTTTCTACTAATCTCAAACATATTAATCTCCTATATCGTAATCAAATGCATACTAATTATACACAAGATGAAGATATACTAAAAAAATTAGTAAATACTAATATATCTACAACAGATCCTAGCAAAAAAAGTTAAGTTAATCATATACTACACTAAATCTAGTATATCCAACTCAATTATTCGCAATGATTCCTTTCCCCTTGTTAGCGATTTGCAAAAAACCAACATAGTTTACAAATTCAAGTACCATTTGGGAGATTGTATCTCTAACGAATTAAATAATATTTGTTGGTCACATCACAAACTCTCTTTCATGACACTTGACAGTACATTTGAATTATAACTCTAACATTTTTAGACATTTAAAACAACATGCCTGGCTGCACACACAATTCCGTAAAATCCTTGTTGAAAACACAATTATACTTCAACATGAAAACAATAAACAAAAATTAAAAATTCTTGAAGCTATATACAGAAAACAGTTGAAACCTAACCTGAACAAAATAAACTATGAAATCTCCACAAATATTCTTAAATGCCTATAATTGGTAACAAAAGCCGTTGGTTTATACCAACGGCTTCCCATACTTAATACTTCTTGAATTCACTCTCATGTGGTCATGTGTGACGTCATGAGCTGTGGTGCAATTTTCGCTTCCAGCATCTTATATGCACAAGTTTGTTGTTGCTTGGAAATCTTCCATGTAAACAGAAACAGACTATCATCACTATCTTGTCCATGTATTGCTTAATAAATTGTAATCTTTGATAATGGCTTATGTAAGCTGAAAGCTTAGATTGGATTAAAATATATGTATCAATATTGTGATTTTCTTTCTTTGTTTAATGATAATGTTATTAAGCTTATCAGACGTTATGAAAAGAATTTACATAAAATAACTAGACAACACTTATCTATATTATTTAATGAAACATGTATCAATGAAAAATTGCTGCCTAAATACACATATTTATTAATATATACTTAATAGTTCTGTTATTTAGCATTGATCACTGTTTTTCTTACATCAAAGTATATATATATATATATATATATATATATATATATATATATAAACGAGTGGCTGTAACCCTTGATGGTGAAGCTGTG